AAATGTATGGCACTTTTATTTCTAATACATCTCGACCTTGACCGATGAGGTATCATTACTGAAAATATTTATCAAATTTTCCGAAAAGAAAGAATGGTTTCATTATTACTTTAGTTAACTTCAGTTGACTAGTACGAACAAATTAACATTTTCAATGAAAATAAATCAGCTAACAATATCACCCTAATTTATACAATAGGACTTAAACCATTCCAAAGACATAATGAAAAAAATGATTTGTGTGGCTTTAGCCAATTTTAAAGATCAAAGATCCAAATGCTCATTCGAGTGAAACACATTTATATTTATAAGTTTCTTAATATAAAAATATCTAACTTAGTTTGCGACTTAATTATCAATGGTACATGATTTCGTTAACCAACTAATTTCGCATTTCCAGCAAATATATGTATATGATATATATATAATATATACGCGATTATCAATGAATGCTTATTTAATATGATTACATAAAACCGTAATGAAAAGAACAACCACCTTGTGCTGTCCATCGCATTTCCTGGATAGCGATGACGTCAGCCGTACATATATTGGAGATTTCTTTAGAAAAGGTTTGGGCATTCTAGGACATGATGCTGAGTTCGTTTGCAGAGTTCGTCGACATTCGGTTTTCATAGCTAAAGTTTCACTGGCGGCTAATTTTATATGATGGGTGCCAAACCCTGTACACATCCCAAACTTCATGTTGCGGAGTTAGAACTCGCAGTTCACAGTATTAATTCATTTTCCAGCGGGTTCAATGTAACTGCCTACAGGTTCACTTGTAGGCTGTGGACAACTCACTCCCAGGAGCTGGTATCATGGCAAAAGAAAAATATTTTTTGTTCGAGAATTTCTCAAATACATCGACAATACTCTAGTAGTAACCTATCTTACAAAAAGCCACAAAAACACGAAACCTCACGCATCATAATACTTAATTATAAAAATTAAAAAAAATTAACCTGAAGTTTTTTGAAAGTAGATTCACCATAATTGTTGAAAAGATCCCTACTGCTGTTGTCAAAGTAATATCAATGAAAACTACGTTTCCTGACTTTCAAAAGTCGCTAACTGAATAGATTATGAAATGAGGTAGTTCTAAAATAATAATAAGCTATTAAAGCATTTTAGAAGTAATGAAATAAAAAAGAATCTTTGAAAAGAGTTTTAATTATTGTTAAAAAAATTGATTAAAAAATATAGTGAATGTCTTAAGCATTTGTACATTTGTCAAATTGTCTGAAGTTGTGAGATAATATGAAAATTTTAGAAATAATTTATGGTTTGATTATTATGCTTCCTTATTTCTATTAATGGACCGTTCCTGAGGACACAAATTATACCAGTCGTAATTTCCTTAAACTGTTATTCTCATAATTTTTCCTCACCCCTTCGGGCTGTATGAGTAACTCACACTCATTTTCCTAGTCGGTACTAACAGACAAGAAGGGAGGTAGTCTAAATATATGAAAATGGAAATATTAAAGATACAATTCAAAACATACGCACACGCAATTTGCATATCAGCATGGAAAGCTACAGCTATCCACAGTCATCCAATCCAGAATGATACCAATACTCTGTTATTCGGCAGCCGAACCAAGACAAGAGCAATGCATGGCAGACGGCAACAGTAAATACAGTGTTTTGCATATCTCAAGTCATTTAAGCAAATTTATGCAAATATATGCTCGCGTATAAATTTTTACAGTGTCTCATCAAGCCACTTACCTCACAAACTCACAAACTTACAACCTTACAACCTTACAACAGCATCAACCTTACATCAAATACAATGCAGAATAGAAATAAATTATTTTTCTTTTTTTTGTGTGTAATTATTTTAATTTGCGACAGCATCAAAAGTTTAAACGTTTTACCAAGAGGCAAAAATCCTGCAAATGCCAACACCAAACCTCACAGCACACACAATGGATGCTGTAGTTATTGATGCCCTTGCTTTCCGTGTTTTGTTATTGGCCCTCAGCATTTAGGAACCTTACACGCTATATTATTTTTACTATTATTATCAATTGCTTTTGTTGTAATCCTCCATACAACATTGCCGTTATTACGTTCGCCATTTGGAAGTTTTGTGCCGTGGCGAAAAGTTTGATGACAACGTCAATGACATACTTTGACAGCTAATACTTGTCGCACTTAACACTTAGTCACTACTGCCGTTGACACACATACAAACACATACACATACACACACATACACATACATGAACAGCACACACTTCACATTCCTCACTCTCATTCTCAATCTCACTCACTTTCACTTTTTTTTGTTCATTCGTTTCAATCTCAAACCGAATCTCAAACAGAATCACTGCCATCGCGTTAAAATTGACAACGCTGTATGCCTAAACAGTCCACAAACGCATTTAAACGCCATACGTTAACATTATTGCCATCATAAATGATATGCTCCCCTTCTCCACGCGCTCCGCTTCCTTCCGTTGTGGTAACGCGCTTTCACACGCTCGTTAACAGCTGAAAATAAATTGCTCAAGTATCGCATTCGACGCGTTTCGGAATTTTTCTTAATGAAATGTTAATGTTTGCAGCGTTCATAGGAAAATTCAAACGAATCCTAAAAAAAGAAAATATGAAGGAAAAACAAATGAAGAAGAAAAATGTTACACGAAATAAAACGTTACAAATACTGGCTAAATAAAAATTAAAATAAATTGCTGTGGTAGTGGTGTTGGTAATAGGAGTAGGAGTTGAGCTACAATTTAATTCAATCGTTTCAATCATAATGATAATGATAATGATAATGATAATGATAATGATAATGATAATGATAATGATAATGATAATGATAATGATAATGATAATGATAATGATAATGATAATGATAATGATAATGATAATGATAATGATAATGATAATGATAATGATAATGATTATGAGAGTGTAAATATGTTCCGACTTTATTGGCGTCCCTTAGGTACCAATACATATAATTAATAAACTGCACAACTAATTTTAATCTAACTTTAAGTTTGAGACAGCCTTCAGAATGAGAATGCTGTTTATTTCTTAAGAGTATACATCTACAAAATATAAAGAAAAACTCCAATCATATAGGAGTTTACTTTGGTAACCCTAGTTATCTTAACCCATCCTTCAACTATTAATGCACCTGAATCGTTCATTTAGCATTTCTGGTTTAAGTCCATAATACACAATTCTGCTGCTTGGCAATGTTGAGCAATCAGCCGGTTTAAAATTTATTCCACAGAGACTGCAGATATTGATGTGAGAAGAATATTGATGAGATTACGCTTTAACCAACAGTATTCTATAAGAATTTTAAAATTCAATCCAATTAGTATAAGTGGTTGATAAATCGCATAGTCTGTGTTTGATCTTTACATTCAGTGGTTCTTGAATTGGGATTTCTCCCACAAAATTAGCTTTTCCACAACTTGTCCTCTTGTAAGAATTCAGAAACATATATGAACCAAATTATATTACAAACTTCATTTGCATATCATCAAAACTATATCAAATTTAATACGGAATGCTCGACCAAGTAAGTCGAACGAGTTATATCGCTAGTGGACGATATAATCAGCAAATACAAAACATCAGAAGTATAAAGATAACTTAGAAGATCGTTTGTTCCTAAACAAACAATCTTCAGAAATACAATGTATTTTAATAGAATATTATATTGTGCAAATATTCTATACTACTAAACATTTTATATTATCTATTGTATTAAACAGGAAATTGAAAACAACTAAACATTGCAACATTTTTTAGTTTCTGATTATCACAATAAAATGAATTTGTAAAAACAATAGGAGGAAAATCCCTAGTGCTGGGACTTCCGTCCTTTTTTTTAACCTTTTTGCGAACAATAATAAATGTAATTAAATGTCGACTAAAATAAGCAACATATTTCAACCTTGAGAATAAAATTAGTCTCAAGATAATTTTGTATAAATACAGAACATTATTGTAAATAAAGATAGTCTTACGATTCAATAACTCGAATAAACTTCAGTGATTTTAAAGAAATAAAATAAATTGTTTTTTTATATATAATATTTAAAAACATAATTAGCGTAGATAGATTTGTCACAATTTAAGTACACCGGCACCTCACTGGAGCGCACTGGGCCTCTTACACGAGTACGAAAACAGCGACACTTAACATAGAAGTGTGTAAATAATTGCTTGTTAAGAAGAAGCATTATGTGAAATGCTATAAATAATGAGGATGTGCTTAAGTGCAAAACAAACTACCGAAGTAGATGATACCTTACAAAAATGGACTAATAGTGGAAACTGCCTTAATTTATAATATTGTATCTCACTGAAGCGAATAGGGCATTTTCCAGTACAAAATATAGGAGGCGAATAAAGCAAAGATTTCATCTTATTTAAATAATTAAGTTCGCCTTTGTAAACATTACGTAATACTGGAAGGTCATTACATTCTTTTGTGATACGTAACTTTTTTATGGACTTATGGAAAATTGTAGTACCAGTACTATACCCACACTCTCTGCAACACATATAGTGTACACGATTCTCGTATGTGCTCTAAAATTTTGCAGAAAACACAAGTAATTTATATGATTACTATATCCTTGAATAGAAGAGGAAAAATATTAATGTGCATATATCAATAATCTATATCGATAGTTCACTCCTATATTTACAAAATTATGTGAAGTTCACTAAAAGTTAAATACAATCAAAATTAAGTATTACTGCACGTACTGAACTGAAGAAATTTAAATACCAAAATATATAGAATTTGTAACATTTAACTTCAAATCTAAAGACAAAAAATGGCTTTCAGATTAATTTGCATTTAGATTGTCTCGAATAAACATAAATAACTCTTAAAAGAAGTTAACAAAATACAACCACTATAAATTTTATATATCTTATTATTATTATTTTTAATATATGCTATTATCCTATAAAAAGAAATGAGATTTTATTTTTATTTTTCTTTTTTTGTTTTATTGCTTTTCGTTACAAATCAGTAAATAACTTTTCGAAATACAAGAAATGCAAAGAAAATATTATAATCACACTGAAAAAAATATTTTTATAATATTTTCAGTACAAATCATACATTCAACTATGGTTCCGCATTACCTAGGGTATTTTTAAGTTGCAGTGCTTAATCCTTTTTTAAACATTCATATCCCGTCTTTCGAATATTTAAAAAATTTTTAGAGTTTATTATTAAACATTCGAGAAAAGGCCTTATCAGTTTACTGGTGTATCCCATATATCCATATGGGATTGTTCGAAATTCGAAATTACATATTCTTAGCTACACTAATTTTTTGATGATATAATTATTTACTTCTGAATTAAAACCTAATTTTAATTTGATTCGCAATTTTATAACAAATTTTAAAATATTTGTTTCTATTTTCTATATTAGTATTTTTTATTTGTTCAAATAATTCAAAACTGATTTCGAATTTAATATTCCGTTTCTATTATCATCATTTTAGTTTTACTCCGTTTATCCGTTTATTTCAGGTTCGCGATTTTTTAGCAAATCATGAAATTTTTGTATGTGTCTTCGAAAATCATTTTCTGTTATTAGTTCGAATAGTTCGCTCATGATGTTTTCTTGGCAAATTGACTTCGAATTTTCAACTTATCGCATACTTCAGATTCAGATTCTACTTCTAATATTACGGTTCTGATCTTTATATGTATGATAATTTGACCCACGATTTTTATTTTTTATAATTATTTTCGATCAGTCCTTCCGATATAATTTGATTTTTTGGAACTTGCTGCTTTATATGACATACAATTTCTATTTTGGAGTCACTGCATTGCGGTAAATTAATTTCTAAAACAAATGCAAAATTATTTAAGAAAAAATGAAAACTGTATTTCCGGACTTTATATGCTGCTTATAAATTGAATTCAAATGCATTTATATAAATTTTTTTATATAAATATGTGCAATTTATATAAATATGTGCAATATTTTTCATTTACAATTGTGACCACATAATCACATGTGTTCTGGACATGAATCTTCACAAAACGAATGACCTCAAACAATTTAATATCAAAATAAATAAATGCATTCATAATCTTTCACCACAGCAAAGCAAATTTTATTAAATAAATTATGCAAACAAAAACCAACAAATTTGCTTTATTAAAAATGTCATAAGCTTTACGAGGACAAATTTGAAAGCCACTAAACACTCTCAAGCAAACGAACAAGCGAACACACAAGCTCCACACAAGCCATTGATATTAAAAAAAGCAACATATACGCATATACACATATATGCATTAATAAATTTAATACCATCCCACCTACCCCACTTCATACAAACAGCATACAGTTTGTGATTTTGCGTAACCATAAAGAAAACAAGAACACAAATACTGACTGCCATTTATGCAAGTACGATTCTACATACACACTTGCCAACATACCAACATACCCGCATGCCAGCATGGAACCGCATCGTAATTAATACATTTAATACCACCCAAAAAAATATCTCATAAACATTAACACAAACATAAATTTTTATAAATAGTAAAAACATGCAAAATAAAAACGAAAATGCAATTACAACCAACAGCAGAAAAACAAATACAACTACGCACAATGTTAGTTAATTGTGGCTGTGCATAAATGGAAACGTACACTGTCCAACATGTTCTTGTGTTTCTATTACAAGAAAGAGTTCATAATATGAGCACGAATTATTTTTGAAGTTATATGAAGAGTATAAGAAAATATTTTTTTTCTTTTAAATTTAAACTATTTGAATTAATTTGCTATATATGTATATATACATTAAAAATATCTATTAAAAAAAGTTGTGGATTACCAATGCAATTCTGGCAACGATCTTTCAGGTCATCACACACAAAAGTCTTTTAAAAAGTCTTTCGTCTACTGGCAGCTGCCTTTATAAGACAGAACGCTCTTTTCAGCCAAAAGCTCAAAAGACCAAATAATAGATCTGCTACAATTGAAATTTTTAAAAAGAGAAAATTATTTCTACAAGTAATTTCATTTTTAATACGACGCAAAGGTAAAAGTATTAATATACTGTCAATAAAAACTTAAAAATATATATTTTAAATATTTAACAGAGCAATTCTGGCAACGATCTTTCAGTTTACCACACTCAAAAATCTTGCGAAAAATCGGTTGAAAGATCTTTCGTATTCTGGCAGTGGTCAGCTCAGATTTTGTTATAGCATTGACAGACGGGAGCTAAGTTATAATTAAGTGGTTAAATTATAATTTATTTGCTCATTTAGCAGTTTTAAATGATCATTTATGGTCTTTAAATGACCGAATTTAACCCAATTTATTCGTCATTTAGGTTTTTAGAAATGGTAATGCTACGTATGCAAGTGAAACGAAATAAAAAACGCACAAATTTCAAGTAAATAAAACATATTTGTAAACATTGGTAAATGTAAGTACTCGTTATATTTTTATATATATTATATTTTTTTTATATATTTTATATTTAATTAAAGCAAGTTTCTTTCATTTTTCTTGCTTATCCATATTGAATATAAAATTCTCTTGCTTTTTCAATAACAAAAAACATACAGCAACTTCTTAATGATAATTTATACCGTCTGTCAGGGTATTTTTAAAATGATCATTAAAGGTTGCTTAATGATAATTTAGGTTGCACATATTTTTTTTTATATACAATAAAATAAATAAAAATTAGATTAAAAAAATTAATTAATTAAAATTTGTAAAAACTGAACAATTATTTAATTATAACTTCATTTTAATACGACGTAAACGTGTATGTATTGATATACAATACAGTTTTAAAAAATTTTAAAATATTTATTTTATATATGTATAATGTAGTATATATATATTTTTTATATATTTTAAATTTAATATTTAAATAATAGCTGCTATTATTTCTTTTTTGACATGAAATAAATTAGGTAAATAATTATTTATGTAAAAAAAATAATAATAATAATGGTGCATACAACTTGCGGCTTTCCATTATCGTTGTATTAAACTTCAATTGCTTACTTGCATTTGGTAGCGAATAGCAACAATTTTTGATTTCATCATGAATGAAATAGATCAAATGATAAAACTTTTCTTTAAAGAGTTTTGTGCCAGAATAGCTAAAATCTTACAAACGATCTTACAGGCTTTCTTACAAAGATCTTACGCCAGACTTTTAGCGATCTTTGTCAGAATTGCCCTGTAAATATAATATACACATTTTTTATCTATTTATAAATTTTAATATTTCCTAAACTTTATTTAATATAATAAATAATATTTATTTCTTTAAGCTATAATTTTAAAATACTTAATTTTTTGCCACATCTGTACATAATTCATAAATGCTGCCATTTCTTTCATGACATGAACTAAATTCAGTAAATAATTATTTATGCATAAATAATAATAGGGCTTTTCTTTTGTGAGCATATCACAAAAGAACAACCGCTTATTTTAAAATTACATATGAAACAACAACACTGCTGGCTTATTTAGTCCAACTTTTTTGAAACAGCGCAAATTAAATCCACTCGCACAGTGCAGTATGCAATCTATATTAATTTTTAGTAACACATAAAACATGTGTTATGCTACATAACGTAAAAACAAAAAAACTTGGCAGCTCTAGTCAAAGGAATTCAATTCTCCTCATGAAACATAGTTTTCATTGACATTTCATTCAAAATTTCTTAATCCAAAAAAAAAAAAGTTTCACAGATTGTTAGTAACAGGTCATTGATTGTGGTTCATTTAAGTGTTAAAGTGCCAGGATGGATCCTGCTGCAAAAAAAAGAAGGTTGAAGAAGCACAAAAGGTATTTAAAACGCTCCGCAAAAGAAAAGGCAAAATTGACTGTAATTATTTTTATTTTACAATCTACAATTTACTAAGCGATATTCTTTGAGCAGGAAAGACTAAATCAAATTGAGGAAAGACTGGCGGCAATTGCTAAAGTAGAAGAGGAGTCCTTACAGTTTCGAAATACTCTTCCAGAGGCAAAAAACGTTTGCAACAACGTTTTTAAGAATAAAAACCTTTAATTTCCATTGATGTTAACATTGTTAAACAGATTTATCTTCGAACACACAAAATATAATTAATGGATGTGCTTTTACTTGCAATTAAGTAAACTAACTATATACAGAATAGTACTCAACTTAAAAAACTAGTTTGTGTTTCTGCTAATAAAAATAAGTAAGATTCACAGACGGTACAATAGTCATTCGCAGCTGCAGCTTATCATGATTTTTTTTAATTCACTCTCTATTGCAATCAAATCAACAATGTAAAGAATAAAGAAAATAAATATAAAAGTTCAATCTTATCGATTTAAGTCAGAATTTATTTATTATTCTCTCTATCGCATTGTATGCAAAGACGTCAAATTCAGACGCAAATCTACTGTTGAAGTATGGTTTACATATTAGATGACGGTATAGACAGGTCATCTACTACTAAATAATTGTTAGACGATTTTAATAAAGTTTAGGATAATATTAATTAATTTTTATTTGAACCTGAATATATAGTGGATCGTGGACGTACACTAAGGCATCGTATATTTTTTTAAATTTATATGGATCACATCATGATCGATGAAGTTGTAAAAACTTACTACAGAAATAGAGACGATTTTTTGCATTAAGTTTTCTTCACTGATTAGGCTCATTTAATTCTTGTTAGATGTGTAAACCAAAAAAATTATCATATGGCAAAGTAAATCGAAAAATAACTATGAAAAACAAATTGCGCCCCAAAAAAGTTACTGTATAATATGACATTTGGTGTGGACGGGTTATGGGTTCGTAATTTTTAGTAAATTTCGTAAATTTGGACACCAACCTTTAATATTGATCCCTATACTTACATTTTTTCCGTTATATAGAAGATATGTGGTATCAAAAATTGGCACAAGTAACAAAAAACGATCTATCGCTTTATTGAAACTTTCCGGTCATGTATATTTACGCCTCAATAAAGCCTTTTGGTCACCAAGTTATTTCGTAAGGATAGTAACAGCAGTCAGACATAAACAAATATAAGTGGAAACAAATCACACTTTTTTTCAGTCAAAACATAAAAAACATCTGTTCATTTCAGGATAATCTTGCTACTCTGACAAAATATCTAAAGTGTTATAAATTAATTTCGAATGTTATGAACTAATCTCGAGTGATATATAGCCTCACCAATCAAAAATAAAAATTACACTAAAATGAATCTCGATTAAAAGTTACCCCAGATTTACCTATCGAAAATGCCATTACTCTACTTGATTCTTACTTGCAAAATATGGGAACAGACGTTTTGTTTCAATTTTCCATATAATCATATAATTGAATCAAAGTTGAAATGATCAGAATACTCGGTCAAAAAATCAAAAATTTTGTGGATTTTTGTGGTTGCAGTTACGCGGGAACTACTGTACTAAAATAAAACAAAAAAATTAAAATAAAAAAAATAAACAATTCTTACGGGATAAAAGTTTTTATAACGTTTACATGGAAATCGATAGTTTCGGTGTTCCATTGGCATCAGTTTCAGTTTGAGTTTCAGCCTCAAGTCAGTCAATGCGAGTATCGAAACTAACACGAGTAGAAAGCAAACAACGGCACTGCCACTGTCACGGACGACAGTGCAATAAACATAAATGCAACCAGAAGCGAAGGGGAGGAAAACATCAACAAAATCGTTTACGAAAACAAACTGTGACAAAAGGTGTCACAAAAGTTGCTCTGTAAATTTGTTTTTGGTATAAATTTAGTTTAAGTTTGTTGAAGCTAAAACCGAAGTTTTTTAGTTTCAGATAAAACAACATTTTCTATATACGAAAAATATCCTGAGCTGCTCAAGGATAGACACGCAAGGAAAACATGCCAACGAATACATATTGATGTGTATGAAGAGTCCTAGAAAACTTTGTGTAAACAGAACTAACTGATATAAATGATAACGTACATATGTACGCAAGTAAGTACATATGTACAGTACGGAAAAAATGTCAAGCAAAATAAGGAACAAGAAACAAGAAACAAAGCGGAAAATAAATGGCACATTTGCAGTAGTTGCGACAAGACAAGAGATAAACTACTGCAAAAGTATCTTAAGCACTATGAGTATAAGGAAGAAAAAAGTGAAAGAATATTGTTGTCAATAAAGCACATTTCAAGGTTGTAAGTATTTTAATGCAAGCTCCGTTGAGTCGACTCGTTCAACGGATATACTTATATCCTATGTTGCAAATCCTTTCATGTGTGTATGTACGTACGAGTAGTTGCAAGTGCCTAAGGCACTCATTCATGTACATTTTAAGCTTACACGCACGTTACGCATTTTGGTGCTGCTTGTACGTAGAACTTAAAATGACAACTCAGATACAAGATAAAGCAGTATTGCACTGTGTAATCTTAGATCCACAGGTGCAATTATTGTAAGACAATGAATTACGAAAAAGGATGCTGACATGAACATCACACAACATAAGCATTTTGAGTTTGAAGGAGAAGGATTTTACATTTAATGTGATTTTTTCTTACAGACAAGGAGATGAATCGGAGAAAACACGAATATTGGCTCAAGTTGAAAGATTAAGGTAATACTACATTTTATGGCAATATACTTCTTTTTTGGATATTACTTAACAAATATTAACAGATCATTTCTGAATTTAGATCGAACAGCTATTGGCTGCAGATTCTATGGAAATTAATGGTCAAGTGGTATAACACCTATACTATACGATATATAAGACAATGAACTGACCTTTTGCGAGTAAATAGTACAACTATACCCTTCGTTCATAAAGTACTCTGTATTTTATAATCATAAATGCAGGCATGATTCCCATTTCTACGACGCTTTGATTTCACAACTGATTTCAGTAAAATCACCTATTATAAGAAACATTTTTAACGACGCAATATGCCGATAACGCTTAAATTCCCATATATCAAGACTTTACGTTTGAAATTTTAACATGAACACCCACAAAACAAATACCATCTAGTGAGCCAAATTGCTACTAGTTGTTTCTGTTATGGAAATAAAAATACATATACCAATTAAAGTTAGATTGTGTGTGTAGTTTTTGCTAGTGTAATTAATGGAAATGAACAACTTTATAAGTCGATATCTCAAAAACTAAACTTTATCGATGTATATTGTAGTGAAAAAAATTTTGCAGTATATGCGACTTTACTTAAATCCAATGCCAAATAGGGGCTCTACAAATAGAAATCGTGTCCGCATTTATACCACAGAATGATTTAAAGAAGAAGAATAAAGTTGAACTCATTTTGCCAGATAAATCGTAGAGCATTTCATTGACACATAGACCAGTTCATATATAGTACTACATATAATCTTATATATAATACTATCCAGGAGTACCAAATAACAGCGGCACAGAAATAGAAATCGTGCCTAAATGCAATATACATACGTATATTTTCAGCTACAGTAATAGAAATAAAGATGTAATATGTAAAAGATGTGAAGGTGTAATTAGCCGTTAGAACAAGCCTACCCAATAACAAAACCTCTTTGAATGAATGTAAATCACAATAGCACGAGCAATATAACAAGAATCAATCAGTTTTCATAATTAATTAATATTTAATTTTTGTGATAGTTATACATACAACCAGTTGAGTGTCCCCAACAGAAACTGTATGATAAATCCCAGGAAACTCATAGAGGAAATGATCAAAGAAACTGTTCTGGTCTCTCCAAATGAAATGTTTAATGTTACAGAAGTTCATACTTTAAGAAAATAACAGAGCTGAACAAGAGCTTCTAAACTTATGAAGTATGCAATTGCAACCAGATGACCCACTAAGCGTGATTGAGGAGATTTGGAAAACTACACAATTGTATTAAAATAGATCTCAGCCCTATATGAATATCAAGATTATAATTTTCCTATTAATTATAATTATAACAATTCTTTCAATATTCTAATAGGAACATATATAAAAAAATTCTTTCATTTTTACTATAAAAAATTGTCTTCCTTAAAACCAAAAAAACAATTTCCTGATTAATTGCAATTTTTTTGATGAAGCACTTTTAGGCAATAAAATATTGTGAAGTCCTTTAGTGTTGGATAAGCAAAAACTCACGTGCACTTAGCAAAACTTTCTATAATCACCAGAGGCAATTTCCAATTAATTTGTAAAATTATTAAAGTTATTAAAAACTCTCGAATAACTGGATTTTAGAATATTATCAAAATACTAATTGAAGCAAAGTGTACTTACTCTTCCATTAGGCATTAGCGGGTTACTTTGCATACAAAAAATTTTAACAGTCTTTCTATTAGAATCTCGAAATGTACACTGTGCTCACAGCTTTGGAAAGGAACAATTCCACCATCTATCCATCCATCTATTCATCCATCATTCATTCACTTTGTAAATTGCTTGCTTTTGTTTTCCATTACCAGCCAAGCCCCCTACCGCATGCTATCCTACCTACCACACTCTCATCTGCAATGTAGATTTTAATTCTACATTGCCAAAACAAACTTTTTCTTCTTCTGCTATTACTGCTAATGGCTTGTATATGGCGTGCATATGATCCATTGTTGTTGCTCTTGTTATTACTGTAGTTATTATCTTTGTTTTTGTTTTTGTTTTTATTTCGGTTTCTCTGTGCTGTTATTCTTCTGCTAGTTCTTCTGTGTAGTGGAACAAAATTTGTGTTATATCCTCGTACGACGTCGTATAACAAAGTTACAATAACAAATTTACTTGTTTCATATTCGTAAGTGTGTGGTCATTGAGTAAATTTCTGGTAGAGTGCTTGAGAAAATAACCAAGGGCAATTCAACTGAGTTAGTTTCTCAGTCTTTTTTATTAATAACTTTTTTATGTTACTTTCTACTAGTCGTTGTTATTGATGTTGTTGTGTTGTGGTTGTTGCTGTCGTCGCTGTCGTAGTCTTCACTTTTTTGTTATAATAACTTTATTAATGCCTTAGTTGACAACGGAAACTGACTTTGAAGAGTTAAACTACGGTAGCACACGAGCATGCAATAAATGAAAAAATATCAGTTGTATAGATTACACTCATCCATACATAAGCCATTAGTAACAAATTTTTTTCAATTTATAATAACATACTTTACTTCCACCTAAAAGACCGAATGGACAAATCAAAACATTTGTATGTTTTTCTGTGGTATTTTTCCTGCAATTCTTTTTTCATTGCTTCCGTTGGATAAAGTAATTTTTTTATTGCCCTCTACAATCATATATACGTTAAGTTTTTATTGTTTCTTTTCGTGCATTATAAAGTGCTAATTTACTAAACAAACCTTCTGAACTATCAAAGCATATTCTCGTGATATGGTTCGTCTCCAATCTTCTGCATATTCACTTGACGTTCTATTCTGTTTTTTTGGTATATTTACATTCCGAACAAAACTTAATGTATAACTACTCATCTGTTGGCCATAGTTTGCTACTCTTTGACCAAAACTTTTAAAGGAGACAGTCCGAGCGGAAATCAAGAAAAGTCTATTTACTGAGTTGAATAACATTTGGACTTTAAAATTTAACAGCTAATTTTGAAAAAGACTTGCCAAAAGTGTAGAGAATTTTGTAGAAAAAACTATTGTTTTAACCAGACATTTCAAATTTTTTTGTTTCGTGGAAAAAACTTTTTTTAAAATAAATTTTTAATTTTAAAATAAAATATTCAATGAATACTAAATTACTCTTTTTGCCAACATTTATTTACAATATATTATTATCTTTCGAATTGGAATAAAAATCGGTGGCAAAATGGTTTTGTTTGAGTTTATTTATTTTTCAATGTGTCGGTTAACTTAAGATCACCACGAGGAAACTTTGAAAAATAAATAAATTTAAACCACATAATTTTATCACCGACTATTTCAAAAATCAATCATTTTCTATATTTAGTATTCAAGTACAATAAAAAAATTGGTAAAGTATGCATTGCTCGAATACAGAGCAAACATTATCCAAGGCACAAATACGCCGGTTTTCATGCCGAAATTTGAACCGACATATTGTTTTTCCCTCAATCTCAATTTTATAATTTGCATTTAGAACAACAATTTTACTCATGCCGTGGGCGAGACACTCTACATAACATGACCCTAACAAAACATTATTGTAGGGTGTAATTTAAGGTCAGCCATGACTAAACTGACTATTTTACTTGATAGAAACTATTGTATTTGATAGAGAGTTTTCGAAAAGTAGTGAACTACAACAACAAAAATTCTTTTTTATTTTACTTATACTTTAATTATTTCATAGTATAGTTTTAGTGCAAGAAAAACACAACCCTGCGTTTCAAGAGCAAAAGCAATAGCAATGTAATAAATTTGCAATAACAATTATATGACATTTATTGCCATTTGTATTCCAATAAAATAAATAGAATAAATGCCAGTAATTGCAATCAATATTGCAATTTAATATTTGTATAACAACACCAGAAGTCAATTGAATTAAAAAGTTTGTATCACCACTTGCATTTTAAAGAATTTTGTTTAAAAAAAAAAACTTTCATAAAACGTAGATACCAGAGATAATTTCAAAATAAATTTTTAATATAAAATATTCAAATAGTTTTTCAAATAAAATTATATCTAAGGAGATAAGCATTTCTTACACCTTTCTGTTACCAGTATACTTGAAACCAATCGACAATAAAGGAAAATCTGCAAATAGTAAGTACATAATATATACAAATCTTTATATATGTATACATATGTATGTTAAATGAAAACACAATCAGCGTGAAGCGAACCTAAAAAAAATTAAATAAATTGAATTAAAAATTAAATAAATTGAATTTTTTATGTAAAAATTTTTACTAATCTAAAAAATTATATTGGCACTTCTTTAAGATTTATTTCACAAGAATTGTATTTTTTACATTAATATTAAAAATTATTTGTTTCTGCAACCAATTCATTAAATCCTACAAATGCGTAATATGTATTATAAAATATAATAATGTGCTAAAATTGTGCTCGCTCAGTGTGGAAAAGTAAATTCTTTTAGTAAATTTCGTGTATGTTATGATTTTCCCTTTCGATACCAAATATGCAGAAGAACCCTTCACCTAATATTAATTATTGCAGTTAATAAAATTCATGCTGTTTTCATTAATTATTAATTTCAAAAATTACTGTCATTGTTGTATTCAATTTATAAAGTCCAAAGTTCATGTATGAATTAAATTCATTTAATTATTTTTGAGATATTGACAAATGTGCTAATTTATTATATTCGCTTGCTTTTTCAGTTCCCCATTTCAAATATTGATAAATTCGTTTTCCATTACATTTAATTGAGCTCTCACTTCTTCCCCATCTCATCACCACTGCACTTTACAGTCATTTTTCAGAAAACGGCAAAAATTATTTTGTTTTCGAATGTCATCGTTTCATCGCTTCTACTTGCTTTAACAACAACATGGCAAAAATAGATTTGGTAGCGCACACCTTTCTTGTCTCACCTTATTTTACAAGCTTTTTTCCTCTTTAAACATTTTGCGTTTCGTTGTTTTTTTTTCTGGTTTTATACTATTGCAATTCCTTCTTTGTTTGCAATTTATAGCAAAACATATACATGCATAGGTACATGCAAGACGTGTAAAGAACTACAAACATACAAATAAATGCAACAATACTTCAATTAAAAAAGAAAAAGCATAAAAATGCAATAGTTTATTGTTGGCGCTTCCATGTTGTTGCTTCCTATTCTGGTGCTTGTTGTTGTATTGTGGCAGCAGTCGCAGGGATGTATAAAAATTGCCAGATTTATTTTTTATGAAAGCATATTAAAGTTTGTATATTGTCTTTTCCAAGTTTTAGCTAATATTCTCGGTATTGCTTTAGGCTGTTATAATTTTGATTTAATATTAGTTCAAACTTTTGTACTTAGAGCTTAATGCCTCAGTATATGTTTCCTATAAGCGCTGCGGATATGTAAACATTAAATTATATATTATTTATTTTCCTATATGTTTTTGCTTTTGCTTTTATCGCTGTTATTATTATTAAAATGATTTACGTTGAAATCGACTTGGAAATGTCGTGCATGTTAGTGTGTGCTGACATATGTATATTTCTGTCCTTCGTACGTGCAGTGTACGTCTATGCGTGGATTCAGTGATTTTCATTGAACGGAAGTGGCATTGTAGTATGTAAACATAATATAGACTGGAAACTTTTAATTCAATTTTCTTTATTGGTTTTTTACATTATGTGATTTCATTCAAACCTTGCTCACCTTGTCCTATATTTGGCACTGACCAGCATTGTTATTGCTGATAAAAGCCAAGTAAAATTTTTCATTGTTTACAATAAAAAATAAAGCCAAAAATAAGGCAAGACGAGAACTCTTTTTTTATAATTGAATTAATTAAAAACAATTATTTTGAATACTTTGTATATATATGAAAATTCATAGTAGCTTTCAATTAGTCACAAGTTTCTTAGTAATACTTATAAGCTATTAGCTAGGAGTTACACCTCAAATTTTTAAACAATTTGGTTGTAGACACTAGGTCTGTTCCACGAGCTACTAGTAGTAACTTTGAGTGACACTGTGTAAACACAAGTGCATTCCACCAGCATATTTTCGAGTTATTGGGAGCATCTGAAAGAGCGTAACATCCCTGTCGAAATTTAAAAATGCATGGACACTAGTACATTTCATTTCAAATAAAATTTGTGTAAAAAAACAATGTGAATCAGCTGTTTTGGTTTAAATCTAAATTTTTGTATTGTTTATTTGTGCGGCACTGGTGTGCTTATACGATTTTACACAAAGCTGTTCCTTGAAAATCTGTGTAAAAAGTACTGTTTTTGTGTCACACTCTCAGTTTGGACTTTACTTGTGCTTTACTTGAGTTTTACTACGAGTAGCAATACAATACAGCAGGTGATTTAAATGAAAAGTTTTAACTCTCATATTTTCAATATTCAATGTCTGGCAGATAGTAATATATGCAGCTTAAGAGTCGAAGAAGGTATTTGTCTGATATATTATTGCAATATTATATATAAAATTCTTTTCATAGAGAGGTTTTTTCGAACAGTAGTGAACTACAAGTACAAAAATTTATTTTATGTTATTTTGTTTAATTGAATTTTTGGCTGACCATACAGCTGTTTTGAGTATTGCCAAACTCCCATCATCAGTAGTCTTGGAAATAATTCTTGTATTTAATTATTCGTAAATAATTTTTAGAGATTGCAAGTATCAGGAATCGATCTCGAGTCCTCCCAAATGTGAAGCTCAGAATCAGTACACTTTAACCAACTGACCCAAAGCCGTACTTAGCTTTTTATGTTCGCTAATTTTTCTGGGGTTTTGTTATTACAAAATTCTTTTCTTAATGTATATGTTTCTGAAGAGTTAAAAATCAATATAGGAAATATACATCAAGCATGATAGAGAGCAAGTATGTCCTTTCCTATATACTTTGAAACAAAGTATAATTTTACCGCATACATGTCTGCAGTCCAAAATGTGGTATACATACTTGAATATACACAGTGCGATTTAGTAGCACGGCATACTAAGTTTGCGTACATATAGCATCGTCTATATCATGCTTCATTCGAAAACAATAAATATGTAAATGTAATTTTCCAATAAAATTTGTAAATATTCTATATATAAATATTATATTAATATCTTAATCCCTCTCAATTTGTTTCTAAAACTTATTTATTATTAATAATATTTATTAAAAAATATATAAACGTGGAAGCTATTTAATTTAAAATTTTTTACACAAAATTTTAAACGACGATGTAAAACATATGTTGGGCAGAATATTGAAAATTTCGAATTATTCGCTCTTTGCCTTTCTTGTATTTTTTAGTTTTTAATGATTTTGGGTTTTTGTATCTTTCTCAGTAATTGAAAGCATTTCATAAGTTTTCAAGGTATTTTATCTTTTGCTGCATTTATTAAATGTTTACTAGAAAATGAACGGAACTGTCCTATTATAATTAAAGCAGTTAAATTGGTAATAATATTATTCAGGGCAGATCAGAACTTTTTCCTCATATATTGAAGTAATTATGCTATAAATGTTCTAATTAAATATTGTCAAGTATTTTGTAAATTACTTTGTAAAAAATAAATTTTTATTTCTAACCTAGTATACTCTGATGACATATGAAAAATAAGTTATATGTTTGTTAAAGAAAAAATTTTTATTGTAGAAAATATCTTACAAAAGTTACGAACAATTGCTCGGTCTTGAAAAAATTGACATTTTGATATTGAAGAAGCGGCAAATCGGCTCATTTCGAAGTGAAGGTCCGAAGGAAGAAGTTCGTACATCGGAGAGAGTAGAATTTCGCGCTTTAGTGAAATTAATTGCAGAAAATTAGTTTTCTTAGTGCTACTAAATAAACCCTAAAGCCTTTTCAACGAATCTTTGCAAAGGTAAGTGCAAACTTATATAAAATTAGTTTTTAACATAGTTGAAAAAGTCTTGACAAATTTCTGAAGAATATTCGCGAATGTAATGTGTGGCACTCCAAACTAAAAAAAATTACCGCTTTGAATGTTGAAAATAATTTTTGCTACTAATAGCGAGAAAATATATCTTTTTCACAAACTATTGCAAATATAAAACTAATTTAACAATTTGAATACGGTAAATCCCCATTATAACCGGTAATTTCAATTTTTGCGAAATTTTAATTTCAAGCAGATACTGCTTTATTAGGGTTGTTGTATTGACAGCAGTGACAAGAAATCGGCTAACCTGCGCGAACTTATGGGAAACTGTACCTTCGTTCATTAGGGCCGAAGTATAAAATAGAGTATATATAGGAGATATATCATGCCAGTTGACACAAGCACTGCACGTTTTTGGTATGCAAGCTGCTTCATATTTGGAACTGGATTTGTCCTTTTACATTGTCTTTCTTTGTGTATGTGTGCGTGTGTGTATGGTACAACTAATCGCTTTTTATTTGATATTTTGAGTTTTATATAATTAAAAAATATATTTAAAAGACAATAAAAAATAATTAAAAGTTATATAGTACATTTAGAATCGTTGAATTAATGTACTTAATGTAATAACTTTCTTTAAAAGTATATAAAAAACAGTTATTTTGTAAATGTATTTTATTAATTAATAGTCATATTATTAATGTCTTCAAAAAACTAAAATTAATAAAAATAATTTTGTATTTTAATATTACAGATGATTCGTAATTCAGTTTTTGCTTTACGCTTGCTCATCAGTCGCCAAGTAACACTACGCCAGTACGCCAAGGATGTTAAATTCGGCCCCGAGGTTCGCGCTTTAATGTTGCAGGGGGTCGATGTTCTCGCTGATGCTGTTGCAGTCACGATGGGCCCCAAAGGACGCAACGTTATTATTGAGCAATCATGGGGATCACCCAAAATTACTAAAGATGGGGTTACAGTTGCTAAATCTATTGAACTGCAAGATAAGTTTCAAAACATTGGTGCCAAATTGGTGCAAGATGTTGCCAACAATACAAATGAAGAAGTAGGTGACGGTACAACGACTGCAGCAGTATTAGCGAGAGCAATCGCAAAGGAAGGTTTCGAAAAAATATCCAAAGGCGCAAACCCGGTTGAAATTCGGCGTGGTGTTATGTTGGCTGTAGACGCTGTGAAGGATCACTTACGTTTGCTATCACGTCCAGTTAGAAACAAGGATGAAATAGCACAGGTAGCAACCATTTCTGCCAATGGCGATAAAACCATTGGTAATCTAATAAGTGAAGCTATGAAAAAAGTTGGACGTGATGGCGTTATTACGGTTAAAGATGGTAAAACATTAACTGATGAGCTGGAAGTTATAACTGGAATGAAATTTGATCAGGGTTTTAAATCTCCATTTTTTATCAATTCCACAAAAGGTGCTAAGGTTGAATTCAATGATGCGTATGTCTTGTTTTCGGAGAAGAAAATTACAACAGTTAAGAGCTTGATTCCCGTACTTGAATTAACCCATAGACTTCGCAAGCCCTTGGTTATAATTGCCGAAGATATTGATGGCGAGGCACTTAGCACATTGGTTGTCAATCGCTTTAAAATTGGTTTGCAAGTTGCTGCTGTTAAAGCTCCTGGATTTGGTGATAAGAAAAAGGCAATGCTTACAGACATGGCAATAGCTTCAGGTGGTATCGTTTTTGGGGATGACACCAATGTAACCAAGATAGAAGACGTCTTGATAAACGACTTAGGCAAAGTTGGTGAGGTTATAATTACTAAGAATGATACATTGCTCCTAAAAGGCAAAGGATCTCAGGATGAAATTCAACGTCGTATTGACCAAATTAAAGATCAAATAAACGATACTACCTCCTATTATGATAGAGAAAAGTTAAAGGAACGTTTAGCACGCTTGGCATCAGGTGTTGCACTATTGCGTGTTGGTGGATCTAGCGAAATCGAAGTAAATGAAAAAAAGGATCGTGTTAATGATGCTTTAAATGCCACTCGCGCCGCGGTTGAGGAAGGCATCGTAGCTGGAGGTGGTACGGCTCTACTAAGATGCATTCCGAAATTGGAGAATTTGCAAGGTGTCAACGCTGATCAGGTTAGTAATATCCTAAAATTTAGTTACATCAATTAGTTTTAATGGGTTATTTTATAATAATTTAAGTCAATCGGCATTGACATAGTGCGCCGTGCTCTCCGTATGCCTTGTATGACCATTGCTAGAAACGCAGGTGTAGATGGCGCAATGGTAGTCGCTAAAGTTGAGCAAGGGGCAGATGACTTTGGCTATGATGCTCTAAAAGGAGAATATGGTTTTTTAATTGCAAAAGGAATAATTGACCCAACCAAGGTAAAGATTTACAAAAAAATTTAAAAAAAAGGCAAATATTTTTCAATTATCACAGGTTGTTCGCACTGCCATCACTGATGCTTCTGGCGTTGCATCACTACTTACTACAGCAGAGGCTGTTATCACTGATTTTCCAAAAGATGAGACTCCTATTGGTATGCCAGGCATGGGCGGCATGGGAGGAATGGGCGGCATGGGCGGAATGGGAGGTTTGGAGGGTATGATGTAAATCATTTCCCTACCACATTACCATATTTATTTTAATATTAAAAATTTTTAATGTTCCAAATCTTAAATTATAAACCCAAAAAAATTTTTTCTCAATACTTAAAAAATTCTACAAGTGTTAATTGATAAATAAAGCACTACAGTGCAAGAAGAATAAGATTCATTATTTCATTTAATTACAGTATTTTATAATGTCAATAGGTAAGCATGTATATATAAGCAACTCTTATAAATAATTGAATCAGAAAAAAGTTCATGTTATTTTTTTAATTTTTCAAGGCATAAAATTGGAGTCAGAAAAAAGCCAGTTGCACAAAAATTTTATCTTTAATCAATATATGATATAAAGTAATTAAATAAGACATAAGATTTTAGTTTTTTTTTTATATAAGTGGGAACTCATTCTCTGCAGCAGAGATTGAAACATTTCAAGACAATATACAACTATATCTCATCATTCATATTGCATATCCAAAATATGGGTTACTTTTCATTCACAATGTTGTCTTACACTATCTACTGAAAATTTGTCTTATTAGTATTTCTAGTATTTAAATAGATAAACATAATATCTCTACTATTAATTCATCTCAGGAAGTATATTGTTCATAGCCGGACTATGTAGAACTTAGTCATGTTAAGATGTCAATATTTGCCGTAGTTGGGAGAACTACTGCATTCAGATAAGTTCTAAAGAGCGTTCTTACTTTCCAATTATGTATAACATGTGCCCTTTTGATATCGCATAGAATGATGTATATCTGCAATTCTGGTGAATATTTTTCGGGATAGGTTATTTACAGATAATTACAATAAATTAAAATCATTGTTATTTATTAAACACATGGTGCTGTTATAAAATCTTTTAACTAAAGAAAAGAAACAAGTACAAACTGCCAAAAAGTTCAGCATGGATATCATGTATTCCATTTTATCAAATAAATTATTGTAATTAAGATTTTAATAAATTAATGTATCAGAAGTTTGTTTTTAATACCAAATTTTTTGGAACAATGACATATGATAAAATTTTTGAGAAGATATATCGAATAAAATTGAAAGTAGAGCAATTATGTATGCATATAGATATGCAGGTATATATTCTCTAGATGGTAGACTAGAACAAAATAAACAGTTAGGTGACTGATAGTTTCACACAAGAATTTTTTATACGTACCATACACAATTGATTAAGAATTTGATATTTTTCTGACTATTTTATGATTATAGCTATATTACTTTTAATCTACTGATATTAAATGACTTGTAGGGTGACTATTCCGCTGCTCTTGCATCTTCCATACGTTTGTTCCTGATGTATAATAAACCTTTATGAAATATTAGCGGCAAATACAGCTTGAGCTGCTAGTTCAATTATTTTTATTCCAGCGAGCCCTGGAACCCATATTGCCCTCAGTCCAGTTGTGATGGAGGTGTGTACAATATAATTTAATTGATTTTCATGAAACAATCAGTCAGTTCTTCCAACAGCTGTCTATTAAGCGCAGTGTTTACATTCTCAAACAGATTAATAAATCGGTTACTGATTAGAGAAACTATAAAGGTTTATAGTTTCGTATCGTACTATGCAGTTTGATGTCGAAATCCATCAATTAGACGTATTCAGTGCACCTTTATATAAACAATGTCTTTGTATGAAATTGTGTTATTGCTGAATAACAGTTTCATGATTGGTAGAGCATAATCTAATTTAAGGAATATATGGAAACTAGTGATATTATATAATGTGGATGTATAAATTCAAAAATTTTTGGATGATAAATATTTAGTAATATTAAATCTTCCAATTTGTAATTACTTTATATCGTAAATAAAAATTATATTCACAAAGGGTACCATGCGTTATAAATATTAATCCTTCATAGGTAATATCACTCAAGATTTATTTCAAATTTCAATTAAGATTCGTTTTTACACAAATTTCAAATATTTCATAGAAGACGCTGGCAGAATGACTAGACCTACTACCCGTCTCGAAAAGAAAGCGCAGGTTTGTGAATCACTTTCTCGATCTTTAATTCCTTTAATAATCTATCTCAAAATTTCTTTGTTAAGATAAATATATTTTCTCTAACTTTTATATAAGATGACTTAGAGCACCAGGGTTCAATCAGAGAAGTTCACGAAAGATCTTGCGTTTGTTAAAAATAAAATAAAAATTCATCTTCCTTTATTAATTATTTAATTTTTAAAGCAGAGACAATTCTTTTAGATCGCTCGAAGGTAATATGATTAGTTATTTAGTTATTTATAGTTATAATCACAGCTTTTGAAAAAGACTCTGAAATCGTGTTTTAAGATACAAATAAATTTCAAACCTGAAACGACTGTCAACGGAATGAGAAAAGGTAATCGTGCAGATATTGAAATAAATATTTGCATAATTGCAGATTCTAATTCTTTTTTTTTGTTTTGTTATATTTTGACTAGCATGTTAGCTACAATAATTACTTCTGTTGATAGTATATATTTAGATTCGTAACTTAACTTTTTTCAAGTATTTCCATTTCATATACTCGTGTTCGAAAAGCTGCTCCATTATATGAAAAGTTACGACGAAACTTGTACTTCTACTACTATTTCTGCATTTGTTTAAATCAACCTCCTTTTTTTCTAATAGGTTTGGAACATATCAAATTGGCCACCCCAAAGTTGTACTTGTATAATTTCACTATCGAATATTTCTTTTGATATTTTGATATTTTAGAACAATGCGAACCAACCGGATCGTATGGATGCATTCATAAAACAGAAGGTTCGTTGAATTATTTTATTATTATATATCTAGAATTTTGTGTTCATTTCAAATAATTTTGTAAAAATTTACTACTTTTAATAAAATGGATACTTATCTAGGAGATTTTGTACACAGAACGTTATCAACGTCCAAAATTTTCTAATCTGCATACTCAGATGTTGAAGTTGTGCCCCGACTGATTAATACAGATGCGGCCATTGAACCAATATTAAAACCTAAGACGCTTAAAGGTAAAAACGTGTATAAAACAAGTATTTATAAATGGGTTTCAGATAATTTAACTAGTTTCAATTATATTCTTTTATTTATATTTTCAGATAAGGGGTCATATTATGTAGAGGGTCTCTGGCACGGCATAAGTAAAACTGTTGTTGTTTTCAATGTAAATTATAAAATTGAGAGTGGGAGAAAAGACAATATGTCGGTTCAAATTACGTCATAAGAACCGAAGTTACGGTTGCCACATATTATATTTTAGTACCAAACTTGGTACTTTTTCCGTACGGTATTCTGGTACTCGTTTTTAGAGAATGGTACTTTCTTGAAGCGCGATCTCTATTGTACATATTATTATGTTATTATTGACTTTTTTACAGAAATAGTATCTTGGAACCACTGTTGGTACAGAAAAAAATTTTCAAGTAGCAACCTTGGCCGAGGCTATCTGTGCCTTGGCACTAAGACAAAGCGCTGTTGTCCAGTAATAAATGTTAAAATTAGTACGTTTTGAAGAGAAAATGGCAGGAAACAACACAGCCTGTTTTATAAGCCACTAATAATCTAATTACTACACTTTCCGATTTTAAGGAAAGGCATATAATTTTGTAAGTACTGTACACAATTATTGTAAAAAAATATACTAATAAATTAACATTATTACAGCCTCTAAGTTTTTTCTTGCTGGTTATTCTTGGTAGCAAATTGAAAGTAAGTATATTTACATGTCCTTTTAAGTTAAATACGAAATTGGCAATACTGATGTGATAGTCTACATAACATGCATTTTGGGCATAGCCTGAAGGAGGCAATTTACCGTGCTCGAGACACGGTAAATAAAATAATATTTTAAAATAAATACACATTTTGTGGAATGTTAACCACTACGCTATATGTCAATACACCTGAGTTTTAAAGTAATCAAACTTTGAATGAAGCCTTAAAAACCATTCCATATGCAGAGCAAGTAGAATGAATAAATTGTAAGACCTAATGGGCCTTAAACTGATTATCTATTCTGCTCATTATTCTGCTCATACCAAATATCTACTGCTGTTACTATAGCACAAAAAATTTAAAATGTATTCCTTACCCACACTTTCAATGAAAAGTTCTGTTTTCTATCCTCACTTTTATTAAGTTATCATACAAAGCAGTGTACATGTTAACAGTTGTTCAAAGCTCCAGAACAATTGCCTTCCTTAAAGTCACTAACAAATTCGTACATATGTAGTAACAAAATTTTAGACAAGTCATCCTTCGTCTACTCACACCAACAACATTTCTATGAACTCTGAATGCAGTGCCCATATTTCAAAGTTAATTTTTCCTCACTTGTTTCAGAATTTTATCTGCCTCGGTTTCCCCATTTTACAGCTGGTCCACATCACCTCTATTCCATACACTAAACGGTAGACAATTGTTAGTCATAAAAACATATGTAGCATTTTATGTTACCAACTTCCGGCAGCACACTTAATACCCTCTGCAGGAATAAAAAAAGTCTAACAAAAATGGAGAAAAAATCCTCGCCGCCGAGTACGCAGATAAATCAAAAATTATTTAAATTTATGCGTTATGGTTGGAGAAGGTTTAGCATTAGTTTCGTCCCTTGCACTTGCGTTCACAGCCATTTTTTCTACTGCTTGTTTCCTGCTTTTATCTCTTTAAAGTCTTAATTCTTTCGAATGATTAAATTTGAAAAAATGAAATTTTCCTCTTCGAATAGATAAATAAATGGATATGCTCTATTGTGGCAATCAAAATAAGTTAAATAACTTCGAAGAAACTGACACGTACGGACAAGAGAAAAAACAAAAAAACTTTCATTTTGCTTATCAAATAAACTTTCATACGAATCTCTTCCCAATCAGGTCTTAACACAAATTCGAACAATGGCTTATCTCGGTTTTGAATTTTTTATGCACTCCAGTTTTGCAGATTGGGACCATAGAAGACATTCTCAGCTGTCTTCTATTCAGTCAGCATTTTTGCCCTATATCACAGACTCCGAACAGCACTACTAATTTTTTTAAAGAAAAATTTTTTGTTGGGGAAAATGTTAAAGGGGTACATTTATTATTTATTTATCAAAAAATTCTTAACAAATTAATTTTATAAACTTTTTTTTTGAATTTTTAGATCATTCAAAAACTATACAATT